GGAGGCCCTAATGAGATGTTATCTGTTTTTATAGAAGACCTGGCAAATATAAGCATAAATTGCAGAAAGATACCCCAAATAAAGAGTGCATGGCAAATAGAGGAACTGGTCAAATGAGAAATGGCTTATGAGAGATCCTTCGCTGAGGATGATCCATCTTCTCCCGCAGATGTCCTAGTAAGTATTAGTTTCCTTAATGAAACTTGGTTTAGAATTCCATAATATACTATCTTAAAAACATCAAAATGAAATCTTCTTTAGATTAAAACAGGCACATATCCTTGATGTAAAAATTTATGTGATTAATTAGGCCGGGCGTGGTGGCGCATGCCTTTAATCCCAGCATCCAGGAGGCAGAAGCAGGCAGATCTCTGTGAGTTCAAGGCCAGCCTGGTCTACATATTAAGTTCCAGGACAGCTGGGGCTACAGGGGGACCCTGTCTCAAAAAGACACCCCCCCAAATTTATGTGATTAATATATATTAATTTGAGGCTCGTTTATTTCATTATATAGAAAGATATAATGATTAGCCCTTCCTACTACCTAGTTTTCTTCTGTGGTTTGTGGTTGTTAATATTTTGTCGTGCTGGGGATTGAACCTAGGGCCTTGTGCATGTTAAGCACTCTACCATTGAAGTACATCCCAGCGCGCCGTATTCTAAGTTACTCCGCATTGTATTAAACAGTAATTTTTTTCAGGCTCCACACTAACCTAGGAGACCTCGTTTTACATATAGCTTTTGACACCATCTTGAGAGAGGATGACTGCAGCCCCAGAGGCGACCCAGAAACTGCACTGTATGTCATGTACCATTCATCCATCCATACTGATAAATGGCTTATTCCTGAGGATAGAAAAGACAAATTTATTGGAAGAATTGAAACTATGAGAGCATGATAAAATTCTCAGGGAAAACAAGCCCAAGACTTATGGGACACCAGGTCAAGGAAAGGGTGTGACCCTCTCACATGAACCCTATAAAGTGATGGAAGACTAACACTGCAATGGCACAGCCCCACACCAACCAGGTATGAGGTACATTCCTGGTATGTACCTCAAGGACCAAGGTCTACTCCACTTGGCTTGGTCCCCCACTGTTGACACAGCTTACTAGAGTGCCTGTCACCCTTCTGGACCTGGATGTGACCTGCCACCTGCCATTTCCTGCTCCAGACTTGTTTAGCCTTTTCACTTTGCAGTCAAACTCTGCAGCTTTCACTCTCAAACCTGACTCCAGCTGCTCCCTCCCAGCACTGGTCTGGTATCTCATCTTATTATCTTATCTTATCATCTTATCTGTACACTCTTTCTCAGCCCACTTCTGAAACCTCAAGAACCCTGCTGTAGCCTCTTTAACTTGCATTCATTCTTTAATCCACACATATGCATACAGATATGTACATACATTTGTTGTCTTGGATGATGTGTGATATGAGATTTAATATTAGCAATTAAGAATGAAATAAGATGGGTGTGGTGCACCTCTTTAATCCCAGCATTAGGAAGGGGTGGGGCAGAGGCAGATAGATCTCTGTGAGATCAAGGCCCAGCAAGTTCCTGGGGCTAAAAACAATAGATGATAGATGATTGATAGATAGATAGATAGATAGATAGATAGATAGATAGATGATAGATAATAAATAAATAAATAAATAAATAAATAAATAAATAAATAAATGGAGAGAGAAAGAGAAAGAAAGAAATGAAATAAAGAATTTGCATTCACCTTAGCTACTGAGGTAGGTGAATTTTATGGCACATTGTTGTCACTGAAACTGCTAAACCTTGTGAATTTATTGTTATTCTGACATCGTGAAAAGACACAAGGTATTACTCTGTTTCTAGCATAACATGCTCATGATATCTCATAGCTCAGGCTAATCTCAAATTGCTATGTAACAGAGAATGGACTTGAACTCCTGATCTTCCTGCCTCTATCTCCCAAGTAGCTGGGATGGCAGTCATTTGTCACTACACAGTTTTGTTTGTTTGCTTTGGGTTTTTTGAGACATAGTCTCACTCTGTAGCCCAGGCTGCCCTCAAATTCCTCCTGCCTTAGCCACTGGAATGTTGGGCCTATAGGCATGTGACCCATGCCTGGATACTATGGTTTTTCTTTTCCTTTTTAAATCCTTATTAATTGTATACATGCGCATGTCTGTCATGGTGTACATGTGGAGGTCAGGGGACAAGTTGTGGGAGTCGGCTCTCTCCTTCTCCCATGTGTGTTCCAGGGGTTGAATTCAGGTCCTCAGACTCAGCAGCAAGACCCTTTACCCACTTAGTCTTTAGGTCCTTGTGGTTTTTCTTATGGAGTGATTTTTTTTATATATATTTGAAGGAAGGGAAGGCACAATGATACCAAGTGGATCCAGCTGGTTTTTCTGAATTCTCATTGTTACCAGATCCTAACTCTTTCCTCTTATCTGTCTAAAGAATTCTATGTAGAAAGATAAAACCATTCATATCAAAGTACTGAGGAGGTGGAAAAGGTCACCAGAGCTCACCTGACTCAAAGAACTCCTCACTGGTCAACAATGCCCTTCATTGTCTTTGCTTCATTCATGGTTACAGAGCCAAACCTGTTAGCGCCAGCCAGTAGCTGGCCAAACTCACTGTCTTAGAAACAAAAATAAGAGAAAGGGAAAGCTAGGGCCAGATAAAAAAGCCTGCTGCCAAGCCACACCCAGTTCAATCCCAGGGAACTGCATGGTGTTAAGACAGACCTGACTCCCACAAATTGTCCTCTGACCTCTACCAGTGTACATCCATACACATGCATGCACACAAAACAAATTGTGATTTTACATTTTTGAATTAAAAAAACGAAAAGGAAGAGCTGGAGCTAATAAATGGTTCACTGTACCAAATGGTTCAGCCGTGTGTGAAAGGATATTCAATATTTTTGTGGAAGTGAATTTACCTTCAATTTAAATATAAAATGCACTAAGTACCTCTTTTTCATGCTAGAGTCCTATCTAAGTATTTTCTCTGTGTGACAACCAAAAGAGTTAGCTCTTATACTTCCCAGGGAAACCGAAGGAAAGGATTCATCCCAGTCAGTGACTGACCCAGGACTCCTGGGCTTTACTTCTCTTTATTTAGATGAATAAAAATATTATTTATTATTTTTATATGTGTATGAGTGTAGTGCATTGCCTGCATGTATGTAAGTGCACCTGAGTCAGAAGAGGGCGTGGGATTCCATGGAACTGGAGTTATGGAAAGTTGTTGGCTGCCACGTGGGTGCTGAGAACGGAACCGGGTCAGTGTTCTTAACCGCTGACCATTCTCTCCAGCCCGGTGACTGTGTGTCTGTGTGAGTGTATGTCGCAAGTGTGCAGGTGCCTGAGGAGGCCAGAAGAGGCATCCATCCCCTAGAGTTGCCCCCACACAGGTGCTGAGAGCTTAACTCTGGTCTTCTGGAAGGGCAACAAATGCTCTTAAACTGCTGAGCCGAATCTCCAGTCTAGGCTTCACTTCTAAAGCTGAAGTTCTTTCCTCTAAGGTTCCTACCTCGGAGAGTGCAAAGTCCTCCTGACAAACCTCATTTTAAACCTCAAAAGTTAAAAAGTAAACCAGCCGGGGTGGCGCACGCCTTTACCCCCAGCTCTCCCAGCACTCCTAAGGTGGAGGCAGAAGAATAAGTTCAAAGTCATCCGCCCACTTCATAGCAAACTCAACACCAACCTGAGATGCAAGAGAATCTGTTTCAAAACAAGAGAGCGAGCAAACAAACAAAAAAATCTCAAGCTCAAAAAATGTTTTTTAGAGAAGGCGAAAAGGAATGCACCTGTGAAACTGGTAAAACTGCTGCAGGGGGTTGGGTGGGGTTAAGGGGAGAGAGTCCAAAGATCACATGGTCTTGGAGGTTGGGCTTCCTCACTGCCTCCTGGACTGCCCCCTCAGCCCTAACAACTACACCTCCCCATGTAACAACTCCTGGAGGCCGCGTGGTGGTGCCAAGGTTGTGGCCTTACACAGAGCAAGTGCAGGGGGTTCTGGAGGAAAGCAGAGATGGGCAGTCTTTAAAACAAGTCTTTACTCTCCATTCCCACGCTCAGGACGCCTGCTGAGCTACGAAGCAATAGCCTTCAATGTACCCTCCTTCCAGTCCTTCCCATAACCTCAGACAGGTGGATCAGTCACTGCTCAGTCTGCGGCTTCCTGGGCTCCTCCAAGCACTCTGAAGCCTTAGCTAAGTGTCCCTTACCCAGCCCTCCAGGCCCTACTCCACCATCTGCTTTCCCCTTGGCCGCGCACTTCCCTGTCTACCGAGCCCAGCCACACTGGCCCTTTTCCTCCTTCCGATCCTCTGTACCTGGTCAGTAACTTCTGTCCTGAGCCTTTCGCTTTTCCAGGGCTCATTCACACTCGGGGTCTACTACCTAGACGCCATTTCCCGTCCGATTGCGTCCAGGCAGCCCTTTCACCATTCATTAATTAGGTCTCCCTAACTGAGCTTCAAGTACATTCTCCACGGCAGTGATTACAGTGTGCATCTTATAGTGCCTATTTGTAACGTCTGCCAAGTGCTACGTGGTTGTTTAAGCACCCTGATAAATCAGACTGTTAACTAAGTGAATTGATGAATGAATGGGCCCGAATTGGGTTTTACTGACGACCATCATCATTCTACCATTAAAACACCCCAGTGGCCCCAGCTTGCTCTCACTGGCCTGCACACCCGGGGAGTTGGCAAAGTCCAGCCGCGGTCTCTGGGCGCGGGGCGCGCTCCCGCTGCGGAGGACTCCAGCACCTAGCCGCTCCGGGCCGGTCTTCCAGCCAGGTGAGCGTCTACCGTCCAGGTTCACGTGGATGGAGCAGGTGGCGCCGGGGGCAACGTGAGCGGTCCCGGAGCTTCCCAAGAGCAGAGCACCTGCAGGTCACCGCGGTGAGGGGAGAGGGGGAGGTGACTGCGAGGGGCGGGGCGGGGCGGGGCGGAGACGCCCACGCGCGGCTGGCCAGGGCCGCCCCAATGGGATTCGGTGCCGGGCGGCGGCTGCACCGGGTGCCCGCGCCGCACTCGGCTACGGAGTAGGCTCCCTGGACCCGGCATCGGTGGCGCAGGACCGGTGGAGGGGAGTCCGAGCCTGCGGGGCTGGAGCCCGACGGGACCATGGTGCCCGCAGTGCGCCGCGGCGCTATGGCCCGGGCTGGCCGACCCGGCCTCCTGGTGCTGCTGCTCGCCGTTTGCTCCCCGCTCCGGCTGCAGGCAAAGGAACCGGGTGAGTGAGCGGGGGCTCGGGGAACCTGGGCTGCGGGCGGGCCTCGGGGTGAAACAAGTGGCTGCATCGCCCCGCAGAAACTCCTTCCTTCTCGGCAAACAAGAAAGGCAGCGTGGCGCCCGTCCCTGGCTCTCCGCAGTCCCCCAGCCGGGATCACTTAGTTTGCAGACTTCCTGACTGGCGGCGGCTAAGTGGCCTGGCCCGCGGCGTGTGCGGCCGGCTCTGCCCAGCCTGCTTCGGACCCAGCTGCGGCCCGGGCCCTCGGGGGTCAGAGTCCCGGCGTGCGCGCCTGCTCTGCTGAACGGTGGGGAACGGCCTCGCGAGGCCAGCCTGCGATCCTCGCCGGTGTCCGGCTGGCGACCCGGGTTGTGGCCCGGGTCCCACTAGGGCATTGTGGGAGTCGACTCCCGACTAAGTTACTTTTTCTCGGTACCTTGGCATCCAGTTCCACCGCGTTTACTCAGTCTACCAGATGAAAACTAGAAACTGGTTTTCCAGCGCTAGGTGGCTCTGCTTCATTAATCCATGTTAATTAGTCCTTTGATAAGAAGGGCCAGCTGTCTGCCGAGTCTTTTTTAGTTTTTGTTGCTCTCTCTGCTTCTGCCTCTGTGCTTCTGAGGTTAATTAATGGCAGCGAGCCTAGGCAGTATGCTTGGACAGCTCTCCCCACCGTTGTGCTTTCTGGTGAAACCTACGCAGGCATTTTTTTTTTTTTTTTTTTTTTTTTTTTTTTTTTTTTTTTTCATTGAACCATGCATTCCTTCACCTAGGTATTCAGAGAGTTGATAAAGTGATTCCTAAGTTTACTTACATGCTGATTTGTGAGAAACAAAACAAAAACATAACCCATAAAGTTATACGGTCAAAAATTACTGCAACACAACACTAACATGTAAAATTGCATTGTGTAAGGTTTTATGAATTTTTAAATATTGAAAAAAATCCCAAATTGATGTTTGAAAGTGTATTCATTTTTTTCTGTTTTACTTTGCGTGGTTTTTGAGATAGGGCCTTATTCTGCACCTACCTCGGGCTGGCCTGAAACTCATTATGTAGCATAGACTAGTCTTGAACTAGTGCCAATCCTGCCTCATGCTGAGATTACAGGCCTGAGCCATATGTCTGACTCAATTGATTGTTTTATTTTTGATACAGGGTCTCTAGTAGACCAGTCTGACCTCAAATTCACTATATAGCTAGGTCTGCCCTTAAACTCCTGATCCCCCTTCCTCAGCCTCTGAAGTACTAGAATTATAAGCATGAACCACCACTGAAAAGTCACTCTTAACCCTACATCTGTAAACCCACCTCACAGTATGACCCTGCACTAATCTGGTCAAAGCTATCACCCATTTTCATGTAATTTCAGACTTAAAATGGTCATCAGCACTTAAAGGACACTATAGAGTAGCTCTAAGGGAAAAGATATGATTGTTTAGGTTCTTACTGAGCTCCACATTTTAGACCTTATTGCCATTGACTGATAGAAAAAAATGCTGTTGTTAGGGTTACTGTGAAGCATCCACGAGCTGAGGTCATTTAAAATAAACCAATGATGCCAAGCATGCGGGTGTGAACCTCTAGCCTTAGCATTTGGGAGAATTGAAGCAAGAGAATTGGCTCCAATTTGAGGACAGTCTGGATTGCATAGTAAATATCAGGCCAGCAAGAAGGAGGAGGGAGAGATGGAGGGAGGAAGGGAGGGAGAAAAAAAGGAAGGATATACAATCACACATAAAAGGTCAAACTTAGATTTGGAATATTTACTGAAAAAGAGCTAGGAACTCCAAAGTTAGTCATTGCTGAGTTAAAAGACTTTCATATTTATTTATTTATTTATTTATTTATTTATTGTGTGGGAGTGTGCATGTATATGAAGGTCAGAGGACTTCTTGCAGAAGTCCTTCCAACCATGTGGATTCTGGGGATGAAACTCAGGTTCTCGGGCTTGGCAGCAAGCACCTCTACCCACTGAGCCATCTCTCCAGTACTTTTTCAAAAAATATTTTTTAATTTTTAAAAAAAATTATGTGTGTGTGGGGCTGGAGAGATGGTTCAGCAGTTAGAGCACTGGCTGTTCTTACAGAGAACCTGGGTTCAGTTCCCAGGACCCACATGGTAGCTAACAACTGTCAGTAACTTCAATTCCAGGGGATCTGACATCATCTTCTGGCCTCCACAGGCTTTATACAACACTTACATACATACAGGCAACACACTCATACACATAAAATAAAAATAAATGACTAAAAAAATTTCAAACTATGTGTATGTGTGTGTCTGTGTGGGGGCATGTGCAGATACCCATGGAGATCAGACTAAGGTGTCAGATCTCCTGGAGCTAGTTACAAGTGGTCTTGAGCTGCCTGTCGTGGGTGCTGGGAACTGATCGCAGGTCCTTTACAAGAGCAGAATGTTCTTTTAACTGCTGTGCCATCTTTCCAGCCTCCCTTTTTTTCTGTTTTGCTTTCTGTAGCCCCATATGACCTAGAACTCACTATGTAGCCCAGTGTAGCCTCAAACTTGCTATGTAACAGAATGATCTTAAACTTCTTCTTTTTCAATATTTTATTTATTATTTTATTTTATGTGTATGCATGTATTGCCTGCATGTAGGTAAGTGCCTGCATGTGGTGCAATGCCCTTGGAGGACAGAAGAGGCTGTCGGATCCCCTGGAACTGGAGTTATGGACAGTTGTTAGCTGTCATGTGGGTGGTGGGATTTGAACCTGGATCTTCTGCAAGAACAGTCAATATTTTTAACTGCTGAGCCATCTCTCCAGCCGGATCTTGAACTAATCTTCCTATTTCTATATCTTTCATGTGCTAAGATTATAGCATACACCAGCATGCCTGGATTTTATGATTTTTCAATAGTTCTCACATCTATCGTCTTCCAGAGTAGTACTTGATGACACAGTTTTCAAGTGTTCACAACTATAAGCGTCCGCACCTGTTTCAGGTCTAGAGATACACTACAAGCCAGAGACATGTGGTTGAATGTTGTCGTGGAGACTGGTGTTCTCTGTGCTTTCGTTAGCATCCTAGCCTATTTTTGTTAAGAACACACTGCACTGCATCTAACCTTAGTTGTTTCTGCAGTTGGCCTCCTGTTGGTCTTCCTACTTCCTCAGCCTCCAAGACCTGCCTGGTCACGTGCCTAGTATCTCAGGAAGCTTTATAAAGCTTCAGACTCCTAAGTTTTTTTTTTATTATTATTATTTTTTGAGTCAGGGTCTGGCTGTGTGGCTCAGGCTGCCCTTGAACTGGCTTTATAAGCTCAGGCTGGCCTCAAAATTCTGATCCTTCTGCCTTAGGCTCTGAAGCACTAAGATTACAGGTATGAGCCACTACATCAGACTTTAACCTAAATATTTATGATCCTAGTCATGGAAATTATTTGAATTTTTTATGTTTGTTAGGTTCTGGTGACTTCATGAGACTGTAGTGGTTCCTTATATGACTGCTGCTGCTTTTATGGTGCTTTTATTCAATTTATTTTGAAAGTGTCCATTCCCCCAGACACCAGTGCACTTGCTGAGTACTGTGACCAGAGTTCAGCCTCTTGTTTTGCTCTTTTTCTTGGGACCCACTCCTCTGAGGATAGCTATTTACATAGACTGCCTCAGGTGATTTTTAACTTTTCATAATATGACATGTAAATTGCTCATTTGTTTTGATTCAGTTTGTAGAAATCCATACACCTGGATTTAGTCCAGCATTATTACCTTCATATAAATATTGTAGAGTAAAATGTTCTTAATTTTTTTAAAGGTATTTTTATTTGTTTTTTGACAGTTTCATGCCCTATGTAATGTATTTTGACCCCCGCTCCTTTTACCCTTTCTTACTCCCGTCCCACTGCCTCCTACATTCCTCTTCCCATCAAGTCTCCCTCCTGCTCTCATGGCTTTTTTTTCTTCATCTTCTGATTTAATTAGGTTTGCTTGCATGAGCATGGTATGGGATCGTTTGCTGGAACATGGGCAGTTTACGAGTGGCCATACTATTGAAGAAAAATAACTTCTCTTCCCCCAGCAGCCATCACCTGCCAAGAGCTCCTCATCTAGAGGAGAGGCCTTCCATCCATTATGGAATGTTGACTGGCTCAGTCTTGTGCAGGCCTTGTGCAGATAACCACAGCTGCTGTGGGTTCATGAGTGTAACAGCCATGCCATGTCTAGCAGATAGTGTTTCACAACAGTCCTCTCCATCTTCCGGCTCTTAACATTCTTGTCCTTAATTCCTGTGATGCAATCTAAAAATCCTGATTCTTTTTTCACCAAAATATGTGCGTATGGGGATTAAGATTTCCTCCTGGTGCTTTAAATATAGGAGAAAATGAAAACAAGAGATTGACCTTTGGAGGTGTGCAATTGTAGTATCAAATCCTGGATGCATGCAGATTGCTTTAAAAACCTCTATCCACCTCCTAGTTTATTGCTGTTTGAAGGTCTAATCTCCATCAGTCATTTATATTTGACTAAACACGTGACTTGCTGATACCTGTTATTTTAGGCAAGAGGCTCTTTAAAAAGTAAGGACTTTATCCTGACACCTTCTGTACAGTGTGTGCCTTCATGCAGACTTTTTCTTGATCCTATCTATCCAGAGGAGAATCTGAGGCTCAGCCAGTCCTGCAGACTAGGTTACTCAGGGCAGTGACTGTGACTGTCATCCTTGCCATCCCTAGTATCTGACAATAACAATAAATACTCTTGAGTGGAACTGAACAAGCTCTTTGTGTTCAGGAGATATTTTCAAACCATTTCTTAATTAGTGGAAAGTAAGTAATAAAGTGCTTAATGAAGTTCTTTATGTGGGTATATCTGCACCTTCTACTAATTAATTTTGTTTACCAAACCCAGCTCTCTTGGCACGCTTGATTCTCTATGTAAGGACGCCTTTTACATGGAAATGCAACAGAGAAGGAATGTGCCTTCAGAACAGTCTGTACCATATGGCTCTAGTGGATGTGATTTGCAATATTCAGAAACATC